GTAGTCGGAGGTTGAATCAATTGGCCAAGAATATGAGACTTTAATACCCAGCTCTTTGAAAGTTTTCTGTGTAAGACTACCGCAGAGTTCCTTGACCATTTTTATAAGTGCGGCTAGAATGATGGTTGCCAGGTCTGCGAGCGGTGTGGTGATGACATCGGCAGCGTTAGTCAGCCATCTAAATGAATTTTTGTATTTTTTATAGGTTGCGAAAAGGTATGTTCATGTGCCATCATAGAAACATAATCTAATCGATCAAAATAAGGCAAAGCTTGTAGATAGGTTTTATATTCAATTAATTTTTTCGTACCTCTATGAAGTAAACCAATATGTGGTTCTGCACGTTCCACCACTTCTCCATTCATTTCTAAAACTAATCTTAAAACACCATGAGCAGCTGGGTGTTGAATTCTATTGCTGATCAATAATCCTTTAACCACTGCTAATCTGTTTTATAATAATCTAATCATAGATAATTTGACCTATTTTTGTAAAATCTTTCTATTGTTTGGTACTGCCAGCACCATTTTGATGTGTTTCGATTATTTACGAAGTGGCAGCGGCGCCAGTTCATTCTCATTCGATTGAGTTGGATCAAAAAGAGTTGCAAACACGAAGTGGTCCGTTCCACCAAGAGTCCATTCGATGGTGACCTAATTTACTGGAGTCTTAGGTTACAGAAACATTTGAATTAAATCCATACCATAAGAAAGAGCAAATATCAATATAGATTTTGAGAAGAGTCATATGAGGCGAAAGTCTCACGTATGGTTTGGAAGTCGTGCCATATCAGCAATAAGATGGTTTAGGTTAACAATCGTTTTTTTAGTCTTCATTACTTACTTCCTTTGCAGGTGCTAATGGCCCTGGAGCCGTAAATCATGGAACTCTGTATAAGATCATCCGGCGAACAATCCGAGATAAACGGATTCTCAAACTAATCCGCTCTAGACTACAACCTTTTTTTCATATGCCACACGGAGAGATTGAAGAGGCGACCATAGGCGCCGCCAGGCGGCGGGCCTTCGGCTTTAGTCCCCTACTATCAAATATATACCTTAATGAACTCGACCACCATTACGAGCTCAATATATACGAGTGTTATTTTGTGAGATTACCCGGATCTTAAATCATCTACTTCCATTAACCACCCATGTTATGGATGTAGGAGCATTAACCCCTTTTCTTTGGGCTTTTGAAGAACGAGAAAAATTGTTAGAATTTTATGAAAGAGTTTCGGGAGCAAGAATGCATGCTAACTCTTTTGGGTGAGTTGCATTCTTAACTCAGCTGGATAGAGCAACAACCTTCTAAGTTGAAGGTCACAGGTTCAAATCCTGTAGGAGAATAACCTTGTGAGGCAGCCGCCAAGCTGTGGTAATGTCACCTTCTATAACCCCAGTCGCACTCTTGAATGTTCGATCTACCTGGAGTATTGCACGCTTCGCGTGAGAACAGTCCAGAAATTTTGGATCGTATATGCTGTACAGCACCACGGTGAGGGCTTTGGCCAAACAATATGGTCCATTCACACCGAGAATCCAATCTTTTTCATATCGAACATAATAGACTCGGACTTGTTCAATTATGAAATAGGGTCATTTTTCCGGTAGGGGTGTCATGAAATTTCAAAGCTAACTGTTCCTTGATGAGGTGTAGGAGCTTTGTGGGTGTAGTCATGTGGGGTTCGAAGTCAGGGCTACTTAGCCGTTCAAGGGCGAGGAATCTTATCAGATTGATGCAGATGAGGACAGGGGTATTGGGAGCCTTATCAGCACCAGAGATATAAAAATGGGTAGTCAGAAAATTGGTTTCGTGTTTTATTGCATGATCCTGCAAAGTTATAGCGCTATGGTGGAGGGTGTTTTCAAGGTTTCTGTTTATAATATTGTAGAAGTCTTGCCTTGCTTCACCCTCTTGGGTTGTGCTCATCGTAACCCCAAGTTTGCTCAGAGCAGTTGTGAATTGCGGCCATACCTGTTGGGCTGCGTTTCTTGCCTCCTGGGCATTAGTAGGTGCCGGTGGGATGTGGTTATGGCCTTTTTTTAGCATTTTGCGAAGTTCAGAGTTGTTGATTATGTTAAGGTCAAGTGTAGTTACGTGCGGTGCTTCGTTTTCGGGTAGGCTACCGGGTGGGAGACAGTTAGTGAATTAATGGAACCTTGGTTGTTGACAGTAGCAGATCTGTGTCAGCTGCTTTACCCATTCAGTAAGGTCAAAGTCACGGAAGACTGTTGCAGGCTTATAAAGTGTTTTAGAAATATGTTCATTGTAGGTCCATGACAAGGTGAGTTTTTCTATTAGTGGTATGGAGTCCGGTCTGTGCTTTTGGAGAATTTTTCCAGAGATATTTTAGAACTTAAGTCTGTCCATCAATCCATTTACATAGTGGCAGGAGATAACGTATTTATCGAGATCTTTACTATTTCTCCATTTGAGTCTTCCATCTTCCATCATCCGAAGTCGCGTATCCTACACATGCAATACATGTGTTCAACAGGGTAAACTTAGTTAAGGGCTATTGTACAAGTAACGTGCGGGGTTAATGCGGCTTTTTTTGGGGTGGTTGGGGCATCGTGATTCTGTTTAAAAAAAAAAAGGTTTATTATCTGTCGAATCGTCGGGTCGCATTAAGGTGTTGTTTACGATGTTAGTTCGTTGTTTATCAATACCTCGAAGGGTCTTATTTTAGTATCACTGAACGTTTTACTTGGGGCATATCATGTGTTAAACGGGAGAACGAGAACAGCGAATTCCAGGTGCACAAGGGGCAGGGTTTTAGTAAGGCATTTGTGTAGGGAGGGTTTGTTTATATATGGGTTGACTTGCTTTTTCTTAGGTTTAATTACTTGGTTAGTTCTGATGGGAACTTCTACCTTGGTTTGTAAATCATGGGGGTTGTGAGTTCAGGACCATGTATCGTGAGCATAGGGACAAGTATAATCAATCGCACATTTGCAGGAAAAAGGGAACAAGGATTCAGGGTTTTGTCAACACTTCAACCAGGGCATCATTGTTATCCTTGTAGTAGATAGATAATGTTTTTTTGCGATAATCAAATTGAAGGTACAAAAAAAAGTTGAAGGCTTAATCTACCCTCAACTTCAGCTAGATCGACTAACTACTTGTCTCAGTAGTCTCTGTCTTTTTAAAAAAAAATTAAAGGCAGAGCAACCTTATTATCTGCAACATAATCTGTTGGTATTGCGAGACCATTGGAACATGGCGAATCATGCATCCTTAATTGCTAAGTGATGCAAGCCTAGCCTCTAGCGGTACTGGTTATTATATTCGCAGTAGTCAGCCCTTGGTCAACTTTAACAGACTGAGAGAACAAGACGATATTAAAGAACCCGTCAATCAATGGTAACGGTCCGATCAGCTTGGTGTCTATCTCATCAGTCTTGGCCTTCTACTCAGAAAAGATTGGGTATGGAGAGTAAGCCCGATTAATTGTAACATACTCTGTCTACCGTGCAAGCCTTTTAATAGCTAGCGATCCATTCAATTATCCTTGCTTTAGTGGAGCTGGCCTAGCTTCTAGTAATGTTGGTATAAATATTAAAGTGGTAGTCTGGATTAAGCCTGCGACAAACCCGTTTCCAGGATTCCTCGGTTGATTGAGACTCAGTTCCTATGGCCGTGTTGTCGCTGTTCGCTCTGAGCAGGGAGGAGTCAGCACTACTGGCCCCATAGTTCATTCTGAGTGCGTCAATGGCGGAGACAGGACCAATCGGGGAGCCATGTGAAGGTGAGCTGATGGTGATGGGGAATTGTCCTCCATCACCGTCGTTCGTGTTGCTGCTGCTTACTTGAATCACTTCTTGATCCTCAGGTCCGTGTTGTCTGGCGGTAGCGATCTTTGCATTAGTCTGCTGTTGCGCCCATTGCCACAGGATGTGTTGTGGAGGAGGCGCCCAATCGTGATTCACTTGAGGTAACAAGGACAGGCTTGTTATATCTGATCTCTCCTGTTGTTGTGCTGCAGCTGTGGCCTGCCGTTGCTGTTGCGCCCTGAGGATGTCTTGAATGTCCGACTGTCTGAGATCTGCTTGGGCCGTCTTCCTCCTTGTCTGTCTCCCGGTCTGCGGCCCATATTGTAGCGGCTTGAGTCTGCGTGTTTTGCTCCCTCTTCTTGATTTGGTTTTGGCTGGTTCCGGAAATGGATTCATGGCGATGCTTAGCAGTTGTTCTCGTCTTCGCGCCAGTCTTTCAGCTTCTGTACAGGGTTGGCCGTGCGTTGTTGTAAGGATGGCAGTGTTAACGAAGAGAGGTGCGGGGAATGGTGTTGGCAGGTGTTGATTTGAGTTAGTGCAGGTGCGAGATGGGTGAACAGTGTGGGGGTTGCTTCTGAGAACAGGGATGGTCATGTTGGGCAGGTTGGTCTGACGTGCAGCCAGCTATGCAGCAGCAATGGCGAATGCATTACTTGTTGGTAGATTGGTACCAAGGTCATGCATAGTCGTGCTGCCAACAATATTTGTACACGGTTCTTGAATTCGGTTGTGCGGTGCGAGCGTTGAACTAGGGTTGGTGTAAGGAGTAGTGCTCATGTGGGTGATCTGTGCTATGCTGGTAAAACCATTTGCTGGAGTGTTGATGCCCGTGGGTGGAGTGGCAGTCAGAGTTGGTAGTGGGTGGGAACTGTTCGGGGTGTGCATCAGCCCGTTTGGTGTTGAGGCTGCGTGACTGGTGGCAGGACCAGAGGTGGGAGTAAGTGTGGGTCTGCTGTTCAGGTTGCTAAGTGCAGGCACGGAGGTTGGGGTGGCGTTGTAGGGTGTTGTATGCGTGTTGTTAATGTCCGGGTGTTGTGGTGGCGCTGTGGAGGGTGCTCTGGTAGGTGTGGTGAGAGTTACGGCTGCTGAAGGCGTGCTACCAAGCCTCATTTGTCGACATCTTCTTAGTGAATTGTCTTCAATGTCCGGGGCACCCCGCCCGCCAGCTGGTTGTGCTAGAAGACCCTCAACATTTGGCAGGAGTGCGAAAGTAAACTTGAGTACAAATGGGACGTTCTTGAAGTCTTCGAAGTTCATGATCTCCTCTGCTGAGATGCTTCTGTTTTGTGTGAGGAGGTGGACAATCTTGATCATGTATTCTCTCATGAAGATGAAGGTGATCTGTGCCAGAACTGGTTTCCTCAAGGTAGTACGAAGGAGCGCTTGGAATTCCAACATCCTGATCTTGTCCGACGGCGCTCGTGGGTCGATCTTGTCTAAGTTGCCAATGACGTACCATAACATGTGGTCGAACCATGTGAAGTTCTTCTCGCAACCGAGACACGCGCACTTCAGGTAGGGTCTTCCGGCATTCCAGAGCTTCTTGAGTTCAGATAGGTATGCAGGGAACTTTGGGATGCCTTTCTGATGCAGCAACAGTCGTTTGGGGCACTTTCCCTTCTCAAGATTGGCGATCTGCAAGAAGTTTGCATCCAATCCACCTCTCGTAGCTGGGAAGTAGATCGTGTCGTTCCTAGCGGCAGTTCGACAGTTGTCAATGTCCGCGTCAGAGAGGCCGGCAAGCGCCATGTATGCTTCAACACTGATAGGTGCCGTGTAGTTGAAGGTATCAAGCTTCCACAACCGGTTGTGGACGTGCTGCACAACCTTCTCTGTCCACGTGCTGGATGCCAAGGGTAGGAATGGACTACTCTTGGCGAATTTGTGACCTGCGTCCCTGGTGAACGGCGTAATCTCGGTGTGTGGAGTGTTCCTCCATTCAGCCTCCCTCTTCCTTAGGTATTCTAATTCGATCTGTCACAACGACATTCGGTTAGTGTAAGCGTCGATGAATGTCTCGTTTCTCTCGTTAGTCGAGACCTGACCAGCAGAGTCGAGGTGCGCCGCATCATAGCCATGGAGCTCGAGAATAATCTTCTCGGCCTTGGCGATGATGAGATTCAACTCTCGGTTCTCGATAACTGCTTTCTTGCAGGCTTCACCAATATTGTCTGCAAAATCGCGAATCTTGGCATCCAGTTCTTGTGGGCTGCATGACGGCGACCAGGGACGCCCAATCACTAAATGAGAGATTTTCAATCAGGAAAGGGGTTTTTCCCAATGTAGCTTCATACACTTTCAGAAGGACATCCGTAGGGATGGCAAGCATTGCGATCTGGCAATGTACGCTTGGCGGTTGCAGACTTTTTGCAGTGTTGAGAATGGCCTGATGGCAACAGCTAGTTCGGAGTGCCATCCCATGAGGATGCTATCTTCGTCCTACACATGTTTCGTTACGAAGTGGCTGTTAGTTGCGTAGACGTGAGTTAGTGCGATCGGTAGTCCCAACAACAGATGTTGTTTTGGGCATATTTTGTTCTATTAGTGGGGCAAGGAAAATCGGGGTATTGCGTGGAGAGCTTTAGTTGCTAGCAGGGTGTCCTGTGAAGTAATATTAACCTTACATAATGTAAAAGATATTATATATAAGAGAGGTGCTTTTATTGTGGAATTCAGATGCCGCATGTATTCTTACCGTGTTTTCAGGTTGAGTGATTTCAAAAAAAAAAAAATCCTTAATTCATTTTATTATTTAGTTTTTTTGCAACAGGTTAGTTTTTATTTTTATTATTATTATTTTTATTGTTTAGTTTTTATTTCTTATTTTTTATTTTTTAATTATTACTTTTCTGTTTTTTTTTAAATAATAAAGAACAAAAAAAAAAAAAAAAAAAAAAAAA